CTTTCCCAAACTTCTCATCAGTCTTTCTTCGTTGTCCTCCCTAGCTCGCTATTGTTCCTTCTTCGTTCTCCTCCCTCGCCGCCGCTGCTTCGTTCTCCTCCCTTGTCGCCGCTGCTTCGTGCTCGAATCTTTATTTAAGGTATACCTTGAATTTTTGTCTACCAATTATCGATTTGTTGATTCTGTTTTGTATTTAGTTTTAGTTTGAACCTTGCATGTGGCTGATTGCTCGAATCTTTGGATTTAGATTTGTTGATTTGTTCGAATGTTGCATGTGGCTGATTACTTGCTTGAGGGTGGTTGTTGGGGTGGTTTTTAGATTTATGAACCCTAATTTCCATGGACAGATGGACTGAATATCTGAATGTACTCTTTTGCATTAATAAATCAAAATATAGTGTTTATAACCGAATCACTACTTTCTTTTTCTGTTTTGATAGAACCTACTTCATATTAATTTTGAAGTGGATTTTCTAATCAAATTTGTTGTTTTTAACTAAATAGTAGCGTGAAATATAATCTGGGTTTGCTTCAATTTTAATATTTTCAAGTGGGTTGCAAATTATACTTATTGGTTTTGACTAATCTGAAGCATTTCATTGTAAAGTTTGATTTGGGTTTGTAGTAATGTGGTTAGAATCAATATTACTCATCTTTGGGGTAAAATTAGTGTACTTATCGATACAGGGATAGATTATGTACTATTTTGGTAATTAAGGTATTAGAGGCAGTATGGAGTTATGGACTATGAAAGAAAGATAGTTTCTTATTTTAACATCAACAAACTATCTGACTTGTTAGCTCTTTCAACTTTTAAACCGACAAATTTATGGACCGCAAGGAACTTAAAAGCAAGAGTATGGAAACTAATAGATGTCCCTGTGCCTATTTGATTGTTTGCTTTATTATTTTTTGTTCATTACTTACTGTTGAATGTTAATTGTTTAGTATGATGTAAATGGTAAATTAGATATGGGTTTTGCTTGTTTTTAAATTCTAATCCACATCAATCAAAATATGGAACATTATGTAACAGCTAAATTAGGGACTTAAGTCAAGCCCTTCTAGAATTATCAAATAATTTTTCCTATTTACTCTGTTAATTTCAATTTTTACCCTAAGGAATGGAAGGCAGAATTAAGAATTGGTGGATGTTTGCCAAATGGAGCGATGAATATGAACAAGGAGTCGACGAATATGTCAAAAGGGCTTTTGCTATTAAGTCTCAAGGAAATCAAATTTGTTGTCCCTGTCAAATTTGTCATTATCGTTTTTGGCAATGTGAAGATGTGTTGAGAGACCATCTAATTTGTCATGATTTTGTTCCAAGATCGGATAAGTTATCAGACTTAGGGTTCAATATCCGAAGAGAAGAAACTATTTTGAATAATGATGAAAGGTCAATCCCTAAAGACTCTAGCGATGACGTAGTGAGGTTGTTGCATGATGCACGTGATGCTTTTAGAGAGGGGCAAAATGATGAGGCAAAAAAGTTTTTGAGGTTAGTTGAAGAAGGGAAAGAAGAATTGTATCCTGGTTCCAAAAATCACTCAAAACTTTCCTTCATGATTCGACTTTTTATTTTGATGTGTGATCATAATCTAACCAATGCGCATTTGGAGATATATTGGAGCTTATAAGGGAGGTGTTGCCTGACGCAAAGTTGCTAACTTCTTTTAATGAAGCGAAAAGTGTATTGAAAGTGTTGAGGTTGGATTATACAAAGATTGATGCATGTCCAAACGATTGCATGATATATTGGGAAGAGCATAAAAATGCAACAACCTCCCATGTTTCTAAAACACCAAGATGCAAATCAAAGGACAAAGAGGATGACATAGAAAATAATAAAGGAAAGACCTATAGGATTCCTCAAAAGATTCTTAGGTACTTTCCGATAAAGATAAAGGCTTCAATGACTATTTATGTTTCAAGAGACAACGAGATACATGACTTGACATGCAGATGGGCGTGAAAATGATCATCTTTTACATCATTCAACTGACGGTCAAGCTTGGAGGGAATTTGATTCCTTGTACAAAGAGTTTTCAGATGACCCGCGCAATGTGAGGCTAGAACTAGCCACAGATGGCTTCAGCCCATTCAATTCAATAAGTATTGTACATAGTACTTGGCCTGTTATGTTGATCAATTACAACTTGCCTCCTTTGATGTTTATGAAGCCTGAGTATTTGATGTTAGCACTACTAATTCTGGGTCCTTCTTCCCCAAGCAATGACCTTGACATATATTTGCAACCACTAATGAAGGACATAAAGGATTTGTGGGAGTTCGGACTGGAAACTTATGATGCTTCGAGTAACCGGAGGTTTTGCATGCATGTAGCATTGATGACTTCCGTGAGTGATTTTCCTGCTTACATGATGTTATCTTGCTGGAGCACAAAAGGATACATGGTGTGCCTTGAGTGTCATTATGAATTAGATTCTGAGTGGTTGCCTTATAGTGCTAACAATGTGTATAGGGCAAATCGTAAATTTCTACCTCCATTTCACCCTTGGCGTCGTAATAAGAGGAATTTTGATGGGAAAGTTGAGGAAAGACATCAACCTACTCCATTGAATGGAATTGATGTAGCTTCTCTGTTGCGTGATTTTCCAGATCAATTTGGAAAGAAGCAAAAGAAACCAAGGCGTGTTGTTGATGATCCAAATCCAGGGAAAAAGAGGGTCATTTTCTTCGAGTTACCATATTGGAAGCATTGTCTTAATCGTCACAACCTCGATGTAATGCATATTGAGAAAAATGTGTTTGATAGTGTCATTCGGACATTGTTAGACATTTCTCATAAGATTAAGAATCATGTGAGTGCTCGTCGAGATTTCGTAGAGCTTATTTTAACGCCGGAGCTTCAACCAAGAGTATTGGAAGATGGTGGCGAAGAATTTCCAAGATCCCACTTTTGGATGTCATTGGAGCAAAAACGTTAGTTCTGCCAAGTCTTCAAAAATGCCAAACTTCCTCAAGGCTATGCTTCTAACATTAGTCGATATGTACAAGTTGGGGAAAGGAAAATTGCAGGCTACAAAAGCCACGACGCACATTTTATAATGAATTATTTGCTCCCAATTGCAGTGAAGACAACATTATCCAAATATGTTGCTACTCCTTTGATTAGACTTTGTGCTTTTTTTAAAAGTATATGGAGTAAAACTATTGATCCTCAACATCTTGAAAAATTGCAATATGAGATAGTTAAAACATTATGCCTACTTGAGAGGATTTTTCCACCTGCCTTTTTTGATATAATGGTACATCTACCTCTACACTTGGTGGGCCAAATTAAGTTGGGTGGACCTGTAAGTTCAAGGTGTATGTATGGGATTGAGAGGTATCTTCATGGACTGAAGTAAGATGTTTGAAATAAAGCTCGTCTAGAAGGCTCAATGGCAGAAGGATATCTAGCCAAAGAATGTGTTGCCTTTGTAGCTAGATTTTTGAAAGGATCAAACTCAGCCACACCTCAGGTTAATGCTTGTAGTACATCACAATCATTTCTTCCGAAGGTAGGACGTCCAATAAAAAGGAAAGGAAGGACATCAAAGAAAAAAGACTGTGAACACATACTTGATCACAATCAATGGGTACAAGCGCATCGTTATGTCTTGTTCAATTGTGACTACGAGGAAGTTGAGAAATATATAAGGTTAGATTACCAACCAAAATGTAGTTTCTTTTCTTTTGCTCTTGGTTTTCAATATGTTTTATTTGTAGTGTTAATAAAATAATCTTTTTATATTTCATAGTGAGCATAAGGAATTTGTAAGCGCTAGGGGAAAAAGGAAATGGAATAGCGTTCAAGATCACAACAAGGATTTTGTGGATTGGTTTAGGGAGAAAGTTGATTTCATTGTTGAAGAGGGTCAAGACATCATCCCTAACAATATCATATGGTTATGAAAAGGGCCTTCTTACATTTCTATAAAGTATACAGGGTACTCAGTCAATGGTTATAGGTTCCATACCATGAAGCGCGATACTAATTGTGTAACTCAAAATAGTGGAGTCACTCTAACGGCTATGACACATAGCTTTGCGAGTTCCAAAGATCAAAATCCTATTGAGGCTAATGTCAATTATTATGGTTCAATAACAGACATCGTTTCTATATCATACCATGGCTACTTCTGTGTCGTCTTATTTAAGTGTGTGTGGTTTCACTCTGAAAAAGATGATGATGAGCTTGTAATGATTAATATGTGTAAGACGACTTCTAAAGAAGAACCATTTATCTTGGAATCTCAAGCACATCAAGTGTTTTATGTTGAAGATCTTAATAGAGATGGTTGGCATTATGCTGTCCAAATCCCTCCTAGAGAGCTTTCTGATGGTTTTTGCCCTAACAATTTACATTACATTATATTGCATTGATTTCCATATTATATTATATTATATTATACTGCATTGTTTTTCATATTATTATCTTTTATGGTTTGTAAACATGTTCTCATTGAATGGCTTCGCAAATGAAGGGGAGTAAAGCAAAAGCTTCTGATTCCCAAAGTCAGCTTACAGACTATGAGTTACAAAGTCTATGAAAATTGAAGTATAATGCTGAAAGAATGTAAGCCCAAGGATCGGGATCCTTGGCGAATAAGTTACTGCAACAAAAAACACGCGACATACTTTGTTCGAGTGTGAGGCAAATTGATGATGGCTCCTCAGGAGATTCTGATATGGAACAGGAAACTCTTGGTACTTGAAAAATACAAGTATATGAAAAGGTATCTTCAGTAACTTGAATTTGTTGCTTTGTATATATATGTATTACTTATATATATTACTTGTTTGATTATGCATTACTTATTTTGCTTTTGTTTTATAGGTCTCTTCTCAACAACATCAAGTTCCCACACGGGAAATTCAAAGGAAGAAGCAAGAATAGCAATTGGGGTCAACAAAGGCATATGTGAAGAAAAGAGCGTTCTGTTCTCCTGGCTCAATGTCAGCGTACCTCAAGTTTTGGAAACGACAAAAAGATGAAGCGTACCTCAATGTCAGCGTACCTCAATGCCCAAGGAACGGATAAGTTATTAGACTTAGGGTTCAATATCCAAAGAGAAGAAACTAGTTTGGATAATGATGAAGGGTCAATCCCAAGTGACTCTAGCGATGACGTAGTGAGGTTGTTGCATGATGCACGTGATACTTTTAGAGAGGGGCAAAATGATGAGGCAAAAACGTTTTTGAGGTTAGTTGAAGAAGGGAAAGAAGAATTGTATCCTGGTTCCAAAAATCACTCAAAACTTTCCTTCATGATTCGACTTTTTATTTTGAAGTGTGATCATAATCTAACCAATGCTGCATTTGGAGATATATTGGAGCTTATAAGGGAGGTGTTTCCTGATGCAAAGTTGCCAACTTCTTTCAATGAAGCGAAAAGTGTTTTGAAAAGGTTGGGGTTGGATTATACAAAGATTGATGCATGTCCAAATGATTGCATGATATATTGGGAAGAGCATGAAAATGCAACAAGCTTCCATGTTTGTAAAACACCAAGATGGAAATCAAAGGACAAAGAGGATGACATAGAAAATGGTAAAGGAAAGACCTATAGGATTCCTCAAAATATTCTTAGGTACTTTCCGATAAAGAAAAGGCTTCAACGACTATTTATGTGTCAAGAGACAGCGAGATACATGACTTGGCATGCGGATGGGCGTTAAAATGATCATCTTTTACATCATCCAGCTGACGGTCAAGCTTATAGGGAATTTGATTCCCAGTACAAAGAGTTTTCTGATGACCCGCGCAATGAGTATAATACATAGTACTTGGCCAGTTATGTTGTTCAATTACAACTTGCCTCCTTGGATGATTATGAAGCCTGAGTATTTGATGTTAGCACTACTAATTCCGGGTCCTTCTTCCCCGGGCAATGACCTTAACATATATTTGCAACCACTAATGAAGGACTTGAAGGATTTGTGGGAGTTCGAACTGGAAACTTATGATGCTTCGAGTAACTAGAGGTTTCACATACATATAGACTACCGTTAGTGATTTTCCTGCTTATGCGATGTTATCTGGCTGAAGCACAAAAGGATACTTGGCGTGCCCTGATTGTCATTATGAATTAGATTCTGAGTGGTTGCCTTATAGTGCTAAGAATGTGTATAGGGCAAATCGTAAATTTCTACCTCCATTTCACCCTTGGCATCGTGATAAGAGGAATTTTGATGGGAAGGTTGAGGAAAGACATCAACCTACTCCATTGACTGGAATTGATGTAGCTAATCTGTTGCGTGATTTTCCAAATGAATTTGGAAAGAAGCAAAAGAAACCAAGGCGTGTTGTTGATGATCCGAATCCATGGAAAAAGAGGGTCATTTTCTTCGAGTTACCATATGGGAAGCATTGTCTTAATCGCCACAACCTCGATGTAATGCATATTGAGAAAAATGTGTTTGATAGTGTCATTGGGACATTGTTAGACATTTCTCAAAAGACCAAGGATCATGTGAGTGCTCGTCGAGATTTGGTAGAGCTTAATTTGATGCCGGAGCTTCAACCAAGAGAATTGGAAGATGGTGGCGAAGAATTTCCAAGATCCCGCTTTTGGATGTCATTGGAGCAAAAATGTAAGTTCTGCCAAGTCTTCAAAAATGCCAAACTTCCTCAAGGCCATGCTTCTAACATTGGTCGATGCGTACAAGTTGAGGAAAGGAAAATTGCAGGCTACAAAAGCCACGATGCACATTTTATGATGAATTATTTGTTCCCAATTGCAGTGAAGACAACATTATCCAAAGATGTTGCTACTCCTTTGATTAGACTTTGTGCTTTTTTTAAAAGTATATGGAGTAAAACTATTGATCCTTAACATCTTGAAAAATTGCAATATGAGATAGTTAAAACATTATGCCTACTTGAGAGGATTTTTCCACCTGCCTTTTTTGATATAATGGTACATCTACCTCTACACTTGGTGGGCCAAATTAAGTTGGGTGAACCTGTAAGTTCAAGGTGTATGTATGGGATTGAGAGGTATCTTCATGGACTGAAGTAAGATGTTTGAAAAAAAACTCGTCAAGAAGGCTCAATGGCAGAAGGATATCTAGCCAAAAAATGTGTTGCCTTTGTAGCTAGATTTTTGAAAGGATCAAACTCAGCCACACCTCAGGTTAATGCTTGTAGTACATCACAATCATTTCTTCCGAAGGTAGGACGTCCAATAAAAAGGAAAGGAAGGACATCAAAGAAAAAAGACTGTGAACACATACTTGATCACAATCAATGGGTACAAGCGCATCGTTATGTCTTGTTCAATTGTGACTACGAGGAAGTTGAGAAATATATAAGGTTAGATTACCAACCAAAATGTAGTTTCTTTTCTTTTGCTCTTGGTTTTCAATATGTTTTATTTGTAGTGTTAATAAAATAATCTTTTTATATTTCATAGTGAGCATAAGGAATTTGTAAGCGCTAGGGGAAAAAGGAAATGGAATAGCGTTCAAGATCACAACAAGGATTTTGTGGATTGGTTTAGGGAGAAAGTTGATTTCATTGTTGAAGAGGGTCAAGACATCATCCCTAACAATATCATATGGTTATGAAAAGGGCCTTCTTACATTTCTATAAAGTATACAGGGTACTCAGTCAATGGTTATAGGTTCCATACCATGAAGCGCGATACTAATTGTGTAACTCAAAATAGTGGAGTCACTCTAACGGCTATGACACATAGCTTTGCGAGTTCCAAAGATCAAAATCCTATTGAGGCTAATGTCAATTATTATGGTTCAATAACAGACATCGTTTCTATATCATACCATGGCTACTTCTGTGTCGTCTTATTTAAGTGTGTGTGGTTTCACTCTGAAAAAGATGATGATGAGCTTGTAATGATTAATATGTGTAAGACGACTTCTAAAGAAGAACCATTTATCTTGGAATCTCAAGCACATCAAGTGTTTTATGTTGAAGATCTTAATAGAGATGGTTGGCATTATGCTGTCCAAATCCCTCCTAGAGAGCTTTCTGATGGTTTTTGCCCTAACAATTTACATTACATTATATTGCATTGATTTCCATATTATATTATATTATATTATACTGCATTGTTTTTCATATTATTATCTTTTATGGTTTGTAAACATGTTCTCATTGAATGGCTTCGCAAATGAAGGGGAGTAAAGCAAAAGCTTCTGATTCCCAAAGTCAGCTTACAGACTATGAGTTACAAAGTCTATGAAAATTGAAGTATAATGCTGAAAGAATGTAAGCCCAAGGATCGGGATCCTTGGCGAATAAGTTACTGCAACAAAAAACACGCGACATACTTTGTTCGAGTGTGAGGCAAATTGATGATGGCTCCTCAGGAGATTCTGATATGGAACAGGAAACTCTTGGTACTTGAAAAATACAAGTATATGAAAAGGTATCTTCAGTAACTTGAATTTGTTGCTTTGTATATATATGTATTACTTATATATATTACTTGTTTGATTATGCATTACTTATTTTGCTTTTGTTTTATAGGTCTCTTCTCAACAACATCAAGTTCCCACACGGGAAATTCAAAGGAAGAAGCAAGAATAGCAATTGGGGTCAACAAAGGCATATGTGAAGAAAAGAGCGTTCTGTTCTCCTGGCTCAATGTCAGCGTACCTCAAGTTTTGGAAACGACAAAAAGATGAAGCGTACCTCAATGTCAGCGTACCTCAATGCCCAAGGAACGGATAAGTTATTAGACTTAGGGTTCAATATCCAAAGAGAAGAAACTAGTTTGGATAATGATGAAGGGTCAATCCCAAGTGACTCTAGCGATGACGTAGTGAGGTTGTTGCATGATGCACGTGATACTTTTAGAGAGGGGCAAAATGATGAGGCAAAAACGTTTTTGAGGTTAGTTGAAGAAGGGAAAGAAGAATTGTATCCTGGTTCCAAAAATCACTCAAAACTTTCCTTCATGATTCGACTTTTTATTTTGAAGTGTGATCATAATCTAACCAATGCTGCATTTGGAGATATATTGGAGCTTATAAGGGAGGTGTTTCCTGATGCAAAGTTGCCAACTTCTTTCAATGAAGCGAAAAGTGTTTTGAAAAGGTTGGGGTTGGATTATACAAAGATTGATGCATGTCCAAATGATTGCATGATATATTGGGAAGAGCATGAAAATGCAACAAGCTTCCATGTTTGTAAAACACCAAGATGGAAATCAAAGGACAAAGAGGATGACATAGAAAATGGTAAAGGAAAGACCTATAGGATTCCTCAAAATATTCTTAGGTACTTTCCGATAAAGAAAAGGCTTCAACGACTATTTATGTGTCAAGAGACAGCGAGATACATGACTTGGCATGCGGATGGGCGTTAAAATGATCATCTTTTACATCATCCAGCTGACGGTCAAGCTTATAGGGAATTTGATTCCCAGTACAAAGAGTTTTCTGATGACCCGCGCAATGAGTATAATACATAGTACTTGGCCAGTTATGTTGTTCAATTACAACTTGCCTCCTTGGATGATTATGAAGCCTGAGTATTTGATGTTAGCACTACTAATTCCGGGTCCTTCTTCCCCGGGCAATGACCTTAACATATATTTGCAACCACTAATGAAGGACTTGAAGGATTTGTGGGAGTTCGAACTGGAAACTTATGATGCTTCGAGTAACTAGAGGTTTCACATACATATAGACTACCGTTAGTGATTTTCCTGCTTATGCGATGTTATCTGGCTGAAGCACAAAAGGATACTTGGCGTGCCCTGATTGTCATTATGAATTAGATTCTGAGTGGTTGCCTTATAGTGCTAAGAATGTGTATAGGGCAAATCGTAAATTTCTACCTCCATTTCACCCTTGGCATCGTGATAAGAGGAATTTTGATGGGAAGGTTGAGGAAAGACATCAACCTACTCCATTGACTGGAATTGATGTAGCTAATCTGTTGCGTGATTTTCCAAATGAATTTGGAAAGAAGCAAAAGAAACCAAGGCGTGTTGTTGATGATCCGAATCCATGGAAAAAGAGGGTCATTTTCTTCGAGTTACCATATGGGAAGCATTGTCTTAATCGCCACAACCTCGATGTAATGCATATTGAGAAAAATGTGTTTGATAGTGTCATTGGGACATTGTTAGACATTTCTCAAAAGACCAAGGATCATGTGAGTGCTCGTCGAGATTTGGTAGAGCTTAATTTGATGCCGGAGCTTCAACCAAGAGAATTGGAAGATGGTGGCGAAGAATTTCCAAGATCCCGCTTTTGGATGTCATTGGAGCAAAAATGTAAGTTCTGCCAAGTCTTCAAAAATGCCAAACTTCCTCAAGGCCATGCTTCTAACATTGGTCGATGCGTACAAGTTGAGGAAAGGAAAATTGCAGGCTACAAAAGCCACGATGCACATTTTATGATGAATTATTTGTTCCCAATTGCAGTGAAGACAACATTATCCAAAGATGTTGCTACTCCTTTGATTAGACTTTGTGCTTTTTTTTAAAAGTATATGGAGTAAAACTATTGATCCTTAACATCTTGAAAAATTGCAATATGAGATAGTTAAAACATTATGCCTACTTGAGAGGATTTTTCCACCTGCCTTTTTTGATATAATGGTACATCTACCTCTACACTTGGTGGGCCAAATTAAGTTGGGTGAACCTGTAAGTTCAAGGTGTATGTATGGGATTGAGAGGTATCTTCATGGACTGAAGTAAGATGTTTGAAAAAAAACTCGTCAAGAAGGCTCAATGGCAGAAGGATATCTAGCCAAAAAATGTGTTGCCTTTGTAGCTAGATTTTTGAAAGGATCAAACTCAGCCACACCTCAGGTTAATGCTTGTAGTACATCACAATCATTTCTTCCGAAGGTAGGACGTCCAATAAAAAGGAAAGGAAGGACATCAAAGAAAAAAGACTGTGAACACATACTTGATCACAATCAATGGGTACAAGCGCATCGTTATGTCTTGTTCAATTGTGACTACGAGGAAGTTGAGAAATATATAAGGTTAGATTACCAACCAAAATGTAGTTTCTTTTCTTTTGCTCTTGGTTTTCAATATGTTTTATTTGTAGTGTTAATAAAATAATCTTTTTATATTTCATAGTGAGCATAAGGAATTTGTAAGCGCTAGGGGAAAAAGGAAATGGAATAGCGTTCAAGATCACAACAAGGATTTTGTGGATTGGTTTAGGGAGAAAGTTGATTTCATTGTTGAAGAGGGTCAAGACATCATCCCTAACAATATCATATGGTTATGAAAAGGGCCTTCTTACATTTCTATAAAGTATACAGGGTACTCAGTCAATGGTTATAGGTTCCATACCATGAAGCGCGATGCTAATTGTGTAACTCAAAATAGTGGAGTCACTATAACGGCCATGACACAGAGCTTTGCAAGTTCCAAAGATCAAAATCTTATTAAGGCTAATGTCAATTATTATGGTTCAATAACAGACATCATTTCAATTTCGTACCATGGCTACTTCTGTGTCGTCTTATTTAAGTGTGTGTGGTTTCACTCTGAAAAAGATGATGATGAGCTTGTAATGATTAATATGTGTAAGACGATTTCTAAAGAAGAACTATTTATCTTGGCATCTCAAGCACATCAAGTGTTATATACATACATACATATATGTACTTCATGTACAAGAACAAATATAGGAGCTAACAGAGCAAAGAAGAGGATTTTGCTTCTCAAATTGGTGTAGCATGAGACTAATTAACTTTCAGGTATTTGTAGGGCAGGGTGGTAGAAAGGGGGTATTTAGACAGGTGTTTGCATGGTGTTTCAGTTTGGAAGATAATTTTGGGATTAGCATGAGACTAATTAACTTTATGTAATTATGAATTATGTTTCTTACTCTGAGATATGATGTAGTGTGTAGTTACATTCCTGAAGCATTTTGTAGTCAGTCCTTGATTTCTCTCAAAAAGTTGGGTTGCATTTTCTTGTTAGTCATATACTTAAAACGGCATTTCTGCTACTTTCCATCAATATCTGTAGGACTGCAGGTCAAGTCTCTCTTTTTTACCTGGTGGAAATGGATTATATTGCTGAATTGGTATCTTGATGCTGAAATCAATTGTGAAATTTATGTGATCAACTTGACCTTGTGGCTTAAAGCTTGGGTGGCTTTGTATATATGATGAGTGGGTTTATGAATTCGATGTCAGATTAAGGTCCTCAATAGATTAGGGGCTTGGGTTCAAGTGTTCAAGACTTATTCAGGCAAATGAACTTTGGTATAAATTGGATAATTTTAAACCTAGAAAACCCCGTTCGACCTTTGTGTATGTTGATAGCTATTCAAAACCTGTCATGACTAGCTAAAATGGATTTGGATTTTATTAGCTATTTTATTACTGGATAGCTAACATCGAAGAGTTAATAAGAATGTTATCTAATTGCTGGTTCTGCTTGAAAACTAAAAGCTGTTTATTAGGACCTTTAGATGGAAACATGATTTGACTGACTACTTTGTGTTGGGACTCCTAAGTCCTGACTCGTAACTGAATAGTAAATTATTCTGTGATTTTCGGTAAATTCTGAAAGTGGAAGGCCACGCATATTTCTGTGTGAAAGTTCAACCAAAGTTAAAGATAAATTCACCCTCACTATTGATACCTGATAGGGTGACCATTTCTTCCTGTGTCAGATTTCTGTAAAAGCTCTGTGTGAGTTGGTCAACATTCATTGAGGGTGCAGGGATGTCTCGTAGCACCTCTGAAGCTAAACAGACTCTTCCATCCCTTCTCCCAGCTGGAAAATCATATACTGGCCCTCTTGTTTGTGAATCAAATCACATGAATTATGTGAATCAGACTCTTCCATCCCTTCTATCCCTTTCTAAAAATCATGTGAACACTTTTCCATTCAAGTTTTCTAACTTTCTTTCAACTGATTTTTCTTATTTTAAAATAGTACTCAGGTATAAATTATCTCAGGTGATTTAGATATGCTATCCAGAACCGTAATATTATGGAATTTTTATTTATGGAATTATGTATATGTGCAAGTGAAAGGTTTGAATTTGTATAAGTTTACTCTGTTAATGCAAATATGTTTTCTAAATTGTGTTGATTGCATAAATATGTTGACTACATTTTGGAACCGTGTGGGCTATAGTGATAGTATTATCTGGATCAGGAATTTGTTGTGTTACTTGGTTTGTTAATATTTGCTTACGAGTTTAGAATGGTCATGATCTATATTTACCATCAAACAAGGGGATAAATTAGAAACAAGTTGAATTTATTTTTTTAACCCTTTGTTTAGTCAGGAAGATTTATTTTTTTTTTCCAGTGGATTTGAATACGTTGAGTTCATAATATAATCATTTTTGTAGATTATTTGGGTTAAGGAGCAGTGTATTAAATCTATATGCTTAAACCTTGATGGCTGCCTTTTAAGAATTCCGGGATTTGATCCTATGAACTTTTTTAGGAAGATTGAATTCTAACTACTAAGCTAACCTCAACATGTTTCGATGTTTACATAAGTTTAATTCATGGTGTGCTTAATTCAATGTGTGATTGATTTGGTCTGATTTTCATGTTGAAATGCCGATTAATTGGGAATAATGTTGTTAAGAACAAATTCAAGGAACAGGAAAACAAATCCATCCATTTGACTAGTGTTTATTACCACATAAACATCAAGAGAATTGTCCTCGAAAAGGAAAAAACGAGGTCGAACAATGCTCCAAGAGTTCACGCACGTTCAAGAGAGGAGCGTCCTGTGATTGTTCAGAACTCATTAGGTCAGTCAGTTGCACCTACAAAGGAGATTGTGCAAGAATTCAAGTTTTTTCTGGGAACGGTGGCAAGGGATTCCGAACTTGCACCGCTTAACTACAGAAATTTTCCAAGCCTATCAACACTTGATAAGATATTGGATTATGTCCAGGTAAATGATATTGTCTTAGTTGCATTACACTTACACCTCAACACGTTACTAATGTTTTAGCTTGAACAGGAGAAGTATATGGTCCCCTATGCCGGGTTTAATTGGGTGATGGATGCTGTAAATAGTTGTTGGAAATATTATAAATGCCAAATCAAGAAGAAACACTTCTATACATATGATACGGATGATTTAAGGTGGAAACATAAACCAGATACAATCTCTGATTAGATGTTCCAAGATCTTCTACAATATTGGCATACCGATGAGGCGAAGGTACTGTACTTATATTGATTATAATCTAATTTCCTGAAATAATTTTATCTAATATGTGTTTAATTTTGACTTAAATGGTGGTTTCCGATTTTCCCTAGGCAATTACCGACAGCAACAAAGGCAATCGTCTAATGGTAGATGACATGCACACTTTGGGACGCAAATCATATGCTATTTTACGCCATGAGTTGGTAAGTACATTTTTTAAAATCTAATTATAGGCATGTTGCATATATTTTTATTCTAATTTCATACATTATGATTTACGTATATATAGCAACAACAAGATCAAGACTAGAAAGAACCTTCTCAAGCAAAGGTTTACAAGGAATCAAGAAAAAGAAATGCTGAAAGGACATACATTAGCAGCTCTGAAAAAGCAAAAGAGAATATTGTGAGTTATTCGATATTTAGTAACATTGTACGCCTAAATATTGTTAGTTATTCGATAATTAGTAACATATTACTATGTTTGCCTAAACAGGCCAAAATTGATGCTTTGGAGTGAGCAGAATCACAAGAAGATGGTGTTATTGTTGTGTTGTTGGTGGTGTTATGGCTTATGCATTACTTGTTTTAGCTTTTGTTTTGCTTATATGCATTATATTATTCGTTACTTGTCCCTAATGTTGATTTATATACATTACTTGTCCTAATATATTATTATTATTCTTATTATTATTATTATTATTATTATTACTATTATTACTATTATTACTATTATTACTATTATTATTATTATTATTACTATTATTATTATTATTATTATTATTATTATTATTTTTACATGTGGGTGCTTGATGACGATGAGCTACCCCGGGATGAATAAAGTACGGACTAATGTTGATTTTATGTATCTATTGCAAGTACTAATTTTATTTCAAACGATTGTTAATTAATTAGTGAACTTTCATTTATTATTAGTTAGTATCGGCACTTCGTTTATTTTGTAATGCAACGAATATATTATATGCACTTCGTTGATTTTTAATTATAAATATACTAATATAATGTATATTTATTATATATTATACCTTTTAGATTTAAACTAATTAATTATATATAATATATAGCTTAGGTATAATATATAATTATATATTCCAAAAAAAAAAATTAAAAAAATTTCCTAATACAACGGTTTTAAAAAAAAAAAGAACAAAAAGGGTCTAATACAAGGTATCAAAAGAAAAAAAAAAAAAAAAAGGAAAAGTATCTAATCTAACGGATTGGACGAGCAATCCGTTAGATTAGGTAGATAACTAATCCAACGGATTCCTCAATCCGTTGGATTTGGTCCAATTATTCCCAAAAACAAAAAAAGGGAACCTAATCCAACGGATTGCTCAATCCGTTGGATTAGGTCACTTTTACCGTTGTATTAGACCTAATCCAACCCCAGCAAATGTGACGGTTGCTAGCCGTTGTATTAGCTCTAATATATCGGTTTTTGACACCTAATACAGCGGAAAAAGTCGTTGTATTAGCTCTTAAATGTAGTAGTGAATAGGAGCGCCCCTCAAAATCAACAACTCGATTTGGAGAGAATTCCAAGTTTTCCACACATCAAGTTCGTGGCCGAATTTCCGAATCAAAAGAAGCGTTTCCTAGAGCTCCAACATCGGAAGGTAGTTCCTACTTGTTTTATAGATCGTTCTCTTCTTGCAAAATAAGGAATTGATTCTGAATGTAGAACTTTGTTTTCTAAACTTGGCATGTCTCAATTGTTTAACATGATCCATTATACATATGAAGACATCACTCTTGAATTCTTGAGCTCTTTTGATGTAGTAAAAGGTAGACATGGTTTGGTGACACATGTAGTTTATAGATTGTTGAATAAATCCCATCGTCTTACATTAGATGGTTTTGCTAGGAAGTTTGGTCTTCTGTCCACAAGATTAACCATGCAACCGAACAATTTCATGTCTGGGAATTTGTGGTTTGCCATGACATGTGAAAACATTGAGTCAACGCAACATGCCCCCGCTAACAAAATCCATCAACCCGTCCTTAGACTTTGGACTCGCTTTTCTGGGTGGACTATTTTTGGACGGACATAACCTAATAATGTTAGGGCAAATGAGGTTGCGATCTTGGGTAGTTACCTAAGATATGGGGATTCTGATGAGGGTTTTCGGATGATTATTGCTCACCTTTTTGCCCTCATCTTAGGAAACAAGGACTTACCTTCACCACTGTTAAACCTAATGAAGACCGTACCAACAACCCCATAGTCCTAGGCGGTTTGGTGACCCACTTGGCAGTTAAGGAGGGTTTTGATGAATTCCACCGCACACTAGTGCCAGGTCCTATTACCTTGGACCAACATTATTTCATTGCCACCAACTGGCTATCCGTTGAACTTGGAAATTACAAATGTCTTGTTATAAAGAACAATAGGCGATCCATCTCCTTACCCTCTCCTGACCTTACTAAGATTCGCCCTCACCAACCTTCATATCTTCTGGAGGTCCTTAGTAGTTCACCTGCCCAGTTGCCCCCACAAGGACTTACTATAGGCGAGAGTTTGCTGGACCCTTCTCATCTTCCCCTGCACCACCTGTCTCTTCTGAAAATGAGGCCATCATGGCTGGCATCCAGGATCTCTCTTCCTGTCTCCAGACACTTGAGACCGACTATCGCCTGTCTGTGCATCCTGTTTATGACTATTTTTACAGGCAAGGTCATATTCCGAGGGATGCTTCCCATCCTTCGTGGTATACCTTTCCCAATATGGGAGACATTGCAGGTAGTAGCGGAGTAGCTGGTAATGATGATGATGGTGACGATGATGACAGAGATGATGATGATGATGATGAATTCGAGTGAGGATTCATAGGTGTTTTTCCCACCTCCCACACGTTGAAATGAGGCCATTGCCGAGTGTAGCTTGGGGGAGGTTTGTATATATATATATATATATCTCGGTACGTTCTCTTATTTACTTTTGCTTTGATTAGTTTGTTTTATTGCTTTGGTTGTGTTAAAAAAAATATGAGAATCATGATAATGAATGGCCAATGAACTACTTCCCTGTGCCCCTATCCTTGACGCCAAAAGGTTTTTGACTTGATCTTGATTGAAAGGCTTGCACTACGAATTAAATGATCATGATTTGACCTTGAATTATTTTGATCCCTAGTAGAAGTCAACTTTGTTAACCATGTATGAGTCTGGAGCTTGACTGTGTTAACTGTGAGGCTTGAGACTTAATTATTTATTCATGTGTGTCTAGTTCTTGGTGTGATATTGATCTTAGTTTTGACTTTAGACTCTTAGTAATGTGTCATTATACATTGCACGTGCACGTTGAGCAGGACGAAGGCCATGTTCTTTAGGTGACCTCCAGACGAATTTAGAAACGTTTGTTCCCTTCTTGCTCACCCATGTTGTAGCCTTGTCTATATTTTTCATGAAAGTCACAAAATTAACCCTTTGGCCCCAATTGGTTACTTTTCCCTAGTCTAGCTTGGGGGAGCTTTATATCGTGGTGTTTGTTTAATTTTTGTGGTGAAATTGGCGTTTAATGTGGAGCTCTAAAAAAATGAGAAAAGAAGGAATCACAAGCATGGAGGTTTTATCCTTGGAAAGTGAATGAAAAGAAAAAAAAAGAGAAAAAGAAAAAAATAAAGAAGAAAGAAAAAAAAAATGAAAATGAAGAAAAAGAAAGAAGAATGAAAAAATAAAGGTAGTAGTGGATGTTCACAATGTAATTTGGATATGTTCTCTTGTGAGTGAGAATGATGGATCGAGGAAGTTTATTGATTATGTTCGATAGCTCCCCGGTTAGACTATAATTGCCTACATCTCCCAACTTTACTACCCACTTTTACCGGGCCTACATTACAAGCATGAAAAGACCTTCTGACCTTCGTGCATGGTATTGTGTTCATGAGAAATGAGTCCCTTGTCAAAATGCTGGAATATATGTCACATTTCGAGTCGACATTTGACTAGGTTGAGCGATAATATAACCCTTTAAACACGCGAGTGTTGTGAGATGGGGGGTTTTCACTATTGGTAAAAACGAGGTCCTAATCTAATTATGTTGCTAATCCTGAAATTTAAATCCATTTTAAATCACCTTAATTAATTTTTAGTGGTAAAAATTAAATGCAAGAGGCTCTTATACTTTTATTGGATTTTGCGGTGTCCGACATCGCACGGAAACAAAACCGGCAGAGGATCGCATGCATAATTAATATAACTAAACAACCTAACATGTAATTATAAAAAGCGATAAACAGATAAAGAAGGAGAGAGAGAAAGTAAAGAAAAGACTTCCTTACCCTTGAAGTGTTCTTCTCATGAACCCCGAGCACGAACACGAAAAGCTCTAGACCCGCAAGTGCAAATCCTCCTTCTTTGCACACCAACGCGCCCGAACGGGTCCCTATCTCGTAGCTTAACCAAGGCTAGACAAAAAGAAACTAGAGTATTACGAACTTAAAGTCTTTCTCACGCTTTTGGGAGATAACTTATTAAGTTCAACTCAAGAGCTAACTACGAAGTATCATCATAGATCCCACAAGCCCTGGCTGACCGGTTATGTCATGCCCTGGCCGACTGAGCAGAGGAGTGTCATCTTCAGAGCTTCATTCTCGAGCTGTGTTGCGCGCCCGACCGGCCACTCAAAGACCTGGCTGACCGGGCAGAAGAAGAACACAAGGAAGAAGGAGTTTTACCTCAGCCGCCCGATCGGGTAGGCTTCACCCGGGCAGACCGAG